AATAAGTTATTTAATTTCACCTATCATTTAATGTCACATGGAAGTCACGTAGACTGTGTTTTCATCCCAATGAAAATGAATAGCATTACTCTACCTTCAAACATAAACATGATCATTTTCTCGTGATCCATCGTCTTAAGATCTATCGTTCTTATCATCTTCAATCTCATTATTTTTTGACCAGTCCTATCCTCTTAGGGCCCATTATCTTTCATCTTTTCTTCTTTCAAACGATCCTCCTTCAACCCATATTTTTCCATGTCACAGTCTTTCGGCTCTTCAAAGAGACGTTCTTTTGCTTCTTGCTTCTAGCAGCTATACGTTGTTTCTTCATCTTATTCGTTGTCGACTAGATCTTGAAGGAGAACACTGTTTTTTGCACAAAATTATAATCAACTAAGGCCAATGTAGGCAAACATCAAGGCACCCAAACATTGGCGGATCCAAAATTTGAAGTGAGCATGAGCGGTTGTTGACCATTAACCGTCAGTCATAAAATAGAAGTGTATATATAACTTTTAGTCATGCTATATGTTGCGTATCATGTGTGAGTGAGGAGTGCTCTCCCAAGTGCAATGACAGATCTAGAATCTTGAGCGAACAGGGATTTTTGTTGACCGTTAATCGTCACCGCAATGAAATGTTAATAATTAAATATATCAATTATTTTGTTAAAACTAAACATATATAATTTTATTATATATATGGACAATGTTCACCAAATGACAGGTTGACCAAGTTGCCTATATATCAAAGGAAGAGCATAGGTTCGAATCCTTACAACTGCATTAAAATCACTAAAACTAAATATATATATTATGATGTTAGATTTAGAGGGTGTTTGATGAGAATTAAAATTAGATTTTTAGTAGATTGTAATAGAAGTTTTTGAAATGTGTGATTAAAAAGTTGTAAGCCCCATGAAAGATGTGATTAATATTAATTGTTTGACTTTGACTTGAATTAAAATCAGATTTTAATCATGATCAAATAGGATTAGTATCAAAATTCAACAAGTGTCATGATGGTCAAGTAAATGGGGTTACAAGTTCGAATCACTTCTCTATTACATTAGTTTTGTTAAAAATTGTAGAATTAGAAAAATTATATAATAAATTGGTTTAAAAGAGATTCAATCATTGAACCTCCAATTTGTATATATAACATTTGACCAACTACGCTACAAATAATGTTTGAAAATAAAATGAGTCACCATATATATAAGCTAAAACTTTTATTTACTGTCAAAGAAATATTTGTTCTCGATAGATCCAACACGAGCGCCGTCGGTGCTCGTCGAGTTCTGGGTCCACCCCTGCCCACAGATTTGACAGGATAACACGTATAAAGGCCTTCTGTATATAACTACTAAAAAATAAAGAAGTTTTAAAATTCAAAATGGATTCCCTGCATGTTGGGTCTCATCGGGCTGCTTTTGCAGGCTGTCCAATGAGCATAAGCCCAAATATTGTTAGACTTTCTTGCTCAAATATTTTTATTTTTTTTAGATGTGTCGGTTAAACTTAGATCGTGTTTAATAAATTTATTTGTTAAAGTTGTCGTCAAATTCCTTCCCGCGCGATTACATCATAGTCCCTTTCCTTTTGTTAATTAAAATTAAGTGACATTGGAGTCCAGTTCTTCGATTTGAGTAATTTATTTTAACAGTAAAATAAGAAGTTACTTTTTAAAATAATTACTTTACTTTAAAGAAAATATAAAATAAATCATCCTACATTTTTTACGATACAAATTACTCAAAAGTGTCTTTTTATATTTTTTGCTTAGCCAACTTGGTGGGCTCCACAAGATGTATGTCAACTCCATGAAGTATTTTCATACGTTTAACAATTAGAATCGAGTGGGTTATTTATTTTAACAGTAAAATAAGAAGCTACCTTTTAAAATAATTACTTTACTTTAAAGTAAAAAAATAATAAATCATCCTACCAATTTGACTATACAAATTACTCAAAAGTAATTTTTTTAAAGCTTTTGCTTAGCCAACTTGGTGGGCTCCACAACTTTTATGTCAACTACATCAACACCAAAACTTAATGTGGCCTCACTTGAAAACCTTTGTTCAACTGGAGGCTAGATTAGTTCCTATCTTCATATTTATGAGTTAAATTTGACTTTCATTTAAGAAATGGAGTAATAGCAATAGAGTTGCAACTTGCAACCCTACATCTTTTTTTTTATCACCTTATCCAACTTTGAAAAGATTTCATATACAATTTGATTGGTTGACGTTGATAAGTACAGATAGATTCTAATTATTGATTTATAAGAGTGATATAATAGTAAATCATATCAAACGATTTCACAGCCCAATACGAGCAGTAATCTCCACCAAGTTAATCTATGTCAATCAATAATTTTCTAAAAAATAAAATTAAGCCCCATCTTTTCTATCAAAAGTTGGACACGCGCACAAAAAATATGTATATATGTATAATCTACACGAGTTATTCACAAATTATCCTCAACTTATTGCTTCATTAGCAAGTTGGTCATCGACTTATAAAAGGTAGCAATTTGAGTTTAATTTTGTAAAAACAGTTGCATTATGAATCCTCAATTACGAAAGTCGTTCAAATATCTATTAAATTGCCAGTTGACTATCGCAAATCTAACCACAGTTTCATAAAGGGCAAATGAATATTTTTTTCCCTTGTGTCATGGTTTGCATGTTTAAGTATGCCCGCTCGGGCACGTACATAATATATTCATGAATGATTAAGATCCCAGATTCCATTTGTGATATTCTAAATAGGAAAATTCTTGACAGCTTAATTGTTTTTGTACAATATTTTCGTAGGCCAGATCCAAAAAATATAAAAATCAGAGACCCCACAAATTATGGTCAACAATACCAATAATAGTGACATAATAATTAATTTAATTTTATCGAGCTGTTTATGTTAATTACTTGTTAATCTTGATTTTGCTCTTCTTTAAGAATACTTCTTTGTGTGTGTGTGTGTGAGAGAGAGAGAGAGAGGGAGAGAGGGAGGAATTTGCATTACTACCCACCTTCACAATTAGGTACAAATATGAATGAAGACGCAAATAAACTTCGTACTTTTGCTTTTACTAAGAAATGTTTCATCCAATATTGTATATCAAACGTAACCCCACATATTTGTCGTGGTCTTATTTTTGAAAGTTTCTAAACGAATGTGGACCGTCACTCGAAACAATTTTCTGTCAAATGATCAATCACCATGTTAACAAATTAAATTTTGTTTTAAAAAGAATTTAGGATAGTGATTTTTTGTTTTGCCTTTACGATTCCATTCAATTCAACTTAGCATATCCATCTACAAAGTGCTTTTACGAGATTAATAAAAGTTGTGCGTCACATGAATGTGTGGTTGAAAATGAATTTTAAAAAATAATGGCAGACTATTCATTCTCTCTAGTCACTTTCCCAGTCACAGTTTCGTTAGTTAGAATTTAATTACACTAATTGCATATTAGTCAGAGTTTGTACACCAATTATCCAAGTACGATCAAGGAAGGAAAAATAGGTACAATTGTAATTATTCTCTAGATTAGCTTCAAAACGAAGTCAACTCTCAGAATACTATACATGGATTTAAAAATTAAAATAGAGATTGCTTTCAATATAATTAATTCAACTAACAAAAGAATAGGTTGAAAGTATTGCTAAACACTCAAGTTTATTTTACTTTACAATTTTTACCAAGAATTTGCTCTGTTTCAATCTTGTGAAGTTTAATATATTTTTACTCTGATTATCAAAAGGATGAAGGAGACAAGGTTTTTAATTCGGGAAAGAATTGGTATCGCTATTCATTATGAGTAATGTTATTTTTCTCTCTTTGCTCCCCCTTTCTCGTAAAAGCTGAAATGCCCAATTCTATTATTCTACATAGATTGTCATTTCATCGATATTCTATCATCATAATAATAAATAATATTATTCATTCTGATATCATAATTTATTTTACTTAAAAGGTTATATAGTTATTATTTATTAGGTAAAAAAGATTATGTAATTCACAAGAATTTCATTAAAAATGAAAAACTTCAAAAGGGTTCGTTAGGTATATTTTTAAGCCAGAAATTCATCCAAATCTCTTGAAATGTCTGTAAATCCACCTTTATTTTGATAAATTTTAGTGAGTTTTAATAAAATTCATTAAAATATTTACTGGAACACCTCTATTTGGAGAGATTTTGTTCACACGCAAGAGGTTGTTTTCAGCAATTTATTGGTTTTAAAACTTCGCCAGCCAAAACCTTGGCGGCTTCTACATAATATGATTATGACCCTCTCTCTCACACACATAAAGAGTCAAAGACAGCGATTATGTGTGCATATTAAACTACAGCTTGTACACTCATGGGTCCAGCTGAAAACCGAGAATTTTCGCACATTCAATTGGTAATCTCTCTATCTGCTCTCGAGTAAATGGGTCTTCAATTTTATATAAATTTACCTCTAATTATGTGATTTTGTATGAATTTTGGCTATATGCAATGGTTCTTTAGGTTATTTGATCTTTGAAAATGGCCTGTAAATCTAATAAATGTTTTGCATTTTTTGTATCTGTTGAATTGAGCAATTTGAATTATTCTTTTATATAATCCTCTTCAGCGGTTTTTCCAATTCCTTCTATAAATGAAAGCAGCTTATAGTTTTTTTTCTTGCATATTTATGGCGATAAACATGTTGCTTTTAAATTTACTTGCGATTCTCATGAGGGTCACGATGTTATACAAAGGGTTTAATGAGTTGTGTAAAAGATTTTATTTTTTACTTTACCCGTTGTTCTCGTAATATATATTGTAATGAGTTTGTGATTCTTTTCTCAAATTCATTTAATTTGCTTTAACGTATATATAGGTCTCTGTTTTGTGGAAGGCTGACTAGTAGTTGACATTTTGATAGTCTATCAACAGCTCGTATAGGACAGAGGAACGACTGGGGTATGAAATTTTAATTTGAAGGAAAAGGGTTTACAGGGATTATGTTTTCTCTTCGGAATTGGAAGTTCTCATATACCCTGGCGGCAGCTATTGGCTTGATTTTTGCATTGCTCTCGGTTATTCGTTTTTTCCTATATCCCGTGGTTCCTTCTCTTGACTACTTTAGCCTCAGTCAGGCTCAGACTTCTTGTCTACCAGTAGATGGATCCACTGAGGGAGTCAAGAAAAGCACACCTAAAAATGGATCCATTCGAGGTACCCAGATGATTTTTCCAGTAAATGGGTCGATTGAACGAAGCAACGATGATGCTGATCAAAACTTGTTGCCAGTAGTTGATTTAAATGTCCAATTTCCAGCAGACTTGCATAATTCTGTTTCTTATCGTGGCGCTCCATGGAAAGCTGAAATTGGACGTTGGTTATCTGGCTGTAATTCGAATACCAAAGCGGTGAAAATGGTTGAGGTACTATACATTATGTCCTTCAGGGATATTTATATTTTGAATTGGTGTTCATCAAAGTTAATTCCATTGTCCTCTTTTTGATCTGATTAATGGGTTTTTGTCAATAATCTCTTATTCGTACTATGCATCATTTTATCCCACATCTAGAAGTTTGAACTATTGAACCCTTATATCAAATCGATTTTTACCCTTCAAGCAATTAGAGGTTTGTTTCTAATTCTAGTTTTTGGAGATAAATCATGCTTACTCCAAGTAAATTGTGACCAGAAAATTGGTGGGAAGAGCTGCAAAAACGAGTGTAGCGGTCAGGGCATCTGTAATTATGAACTGGGTCAATGCAGCTGCTTTCACGGCTTCAGTGGTTAGTCCTTTTTGATAGCTTTTTCGCCTCAAAAAGAAATTTCTTCACATTCTTTTTCAGTAAAGGTATCTCAGTGCATATCCAATCATACAATCATTTAGTTCACTCTTGCAATTCTTGAAATATTGTGCCAATCTATTTCTTTGATATCCCCGAGTAACTATTCATTCTCTGAATTTTCTCAATTCTAATGTTTGGAGTTGTAATGAGGATAACCACGGGTGGCAGGGGAAGGATGTTCAGAAAGACTAAATTTAAGTTGCAACTACCCTGGATCAAAAGGGGAGCCCTATGGGCATTGGGTTGTGTCTATCTGCTCGGCTCAGTGTGACACAACCAGAGCAATGTGCTTTTGTGGAGAAGGCACAAAATACCCTAATCGTCCTGTTGCTGAGGGATGTGGGTTTAAATTAAAGTAAGCACACTAAAATTTTAATGCACACTGCTATTATTATTGGATCAATGACAGTGCATTAGTAATTAGTTCTTTTGGCACGATATAGCTTGCCTGCTCAACCTGGTGGTCCATCTCTGACCGATTGGACAAAACCCGATCTTGATATTTACACTACCAACGCTAGTGTACGAGGATGGTGTAATGTGGATCCTGCTGAAGCTTATTCTTCCAAGGTGCAATTTAAAGAGGAATGTGATTGCAAGTATGATGGCCTTTGGGGCCGATTTTGTGAAACACCAGTAGAAAGTGTTTGTATTAACCAATGCTCAGGCAATGGACAGTGTCGAGGCGGTTTTTGTCAGGTAGTTAAGCTTCACATTTCTATGTGAATTTCTTGGGTTGATTCACATTGTTGTCTCATTATAATCAAGCTTTCACTATTGAGTGCAGAGATGAGGCTTCAAACACACCGTTAAAATATGCTTAAAGGCTTGTTTGGCATATATTTTTCTAAAATCATTTTTCTCCAGAATCACTTTCAAAACACATTCTGTACCTATAACTGTTTCCCACTTTTCAACCACGCATTCACAATATATATATATATATAAAAAATTCATTTTTCACTTGAAAAAATCTCTGCCAAACAGGCTTTAAATATGTGTGTGGGTGTGCACGCACATATTTGTATATGTAAATATCTGTTTTCTTATTGTGTAGTTTTAATCATAACAAAGCTTCTGTTAAATATTGTCTGGAGGGTTTTAGTTGAATCTGGGATGATACTCTGATATTTGCCTAATTTAACTGTATATCTGCAGTGTAAACGTGGCTGGTATGGAGTAGATTGCAGTGTTCCATCCGCTTTATCATCCATCAGAGAATGGCCCAGGTGGCTTCGACCTGCACATGTTAATGTTCCAGATAGTACACGAACCACGGAAAATCTTTTCAATCTTAATGCTGTAGTTCAAAAGAAAAGACCCCTTGTATATGTTTACGATTTGCCTCCCGACTTCAATAGTCTTCTCCTGGAGGTAAGAATCCCTTTTCACGCCTTCTCTATTTGGATAAAGAACATTCATTACTATCTACTTTCTTGTCACTGCAGGGACGACATTTCAAGTTGCAGTGTGTAAACAGAATCTATGATCACAGGAATGCTACAATATGGACTGATCAACTGTATGGTGCACAGGTATCATTGGATCTAGATGTACCAATAATTAAAATTACTGTGGTTAAGCATATAATACTGATTTAAAGACTCCCTTTTGGCAGATGGCAATCTATGAAAGTATATTAGCCAGTCCTTATAGAACATTAAATGGTGAAGAAGCAGATTACTTCTTTGTTCCAGTACTTGATTCATGTATTATAACTCGTGCTGATGATGCTCCACACTTGAGCATGCAGGTAAAGACCATTTATAAGTAAGCAATTGCATATGAAAATTTTATACCAAACATTCTATATAATTTTTGCTGCCTATCCAGAGAAATTTTACGCTATCCCTGATGTTTTCCATCAAATTCCAGGATCACCAGGGGTTAAGGAGTTCACTAACTTTAGAATTCTACAAGAAAGCGTATGATCACATAATGATGCAATATCCTTACTGGAACCACTCCTCAGGACGAGATCACATTTGGGTATGATGCCACTATTCATATAATACTCCAGATATTTTGTGTGAAGAACTGCAGAATTTCTCTCTCTGGTACATGAAATATATAACAATCTTTTTCTCCAAACTAATGGCGTTGTCTGTATATCAAGCAGTCCTTTTCATGGGATGAAGGGGCTTGCTATGCACCTAAGGAAATATGGAACAGCATGATGTTAGTCCACTGGGGCAATACAAATTCAAAGCATAATCATTCTACAACAGCATATTGGGCTGATAACTGGAATCAGATTTCTTCTCAAAGAAGAGGGAGTCATCCATGCTTTGATCCGGACAAAGATCTTGTACTTCCTGCATGGAAGCGCCCTGATGAAGGTTCGCTGAATGCTAAACTTTGGGCTAGGTACTCACATCAATCTTTATGCATTAATGGATTTGTCCCACTTGTACTGTCATGGTTGTACAGATATTTCTCATTTTTGTTTATCCTTAAAAGATTATAGTCAAGGGATGTTATTTATGCAGGCCCCACGAGGAACGGAAGACACTATTCTATTTCAACGGAAATCTAGGACCGGCTTACGAACATGGAAGACCTGAAGCAACGTAAGTTAATTAAACACACTGAGATTGTAACACGTGCTGCAGAATTATCTGATATGATATTGGAGGTAGTATACATTTTCAGGCTGGGATATCCAGTTTGCTGAATGTTCTCAATACTTCATTTGGTCTATATATGAAATTTCATCTGCTAGGTGTGATGATATTCAGGTATAGCATGGGCATAAGGCAGAAAGTTGCTGAAGAGTTTGGTTCAAGTCCTAACAAGGAAGGAAAACTTGGGAAACAGCATGCAGAAGATGTGGTTGTGACTCCACTACGTACTGATCATTATTACCAGGAATTGGCAAATTCTGTTTTCTGTGGGGTTATGCCTGGAGATGGATGGAGCGGTCGAATGGAAGATAGTATCCTGCATGGCTGCGTCCCCGTGGTCATTCAGGTCCCGTACTCAGCAACTTATATTATGCAGAAGTGCAATACTGGGCATGCTTAAAAATAAGTAAAAGTTTTTTAAAGTAGCTTATTGTGCCAAACACATTTGGATAATTTACTTTTCAAGTAAAAAAAATTGCTTATTTTGAAAGTAGCTCTTACCTTTCTCTCAATATTAAGTAACGTACTCATTTCTAATTTTGATAAAATAAAAAAATTCTTATTTTGAAGCTTATTTGCTTATAAGTGAACTTTTTAGGACAAGCCAATCTCTACTTGTTAGCTCATGGTCTGCCAAATAATTTGCAACTTGTTGGCTGTGGCTCACACTGATTGAAAGCTACAAGTTTCTTTGAGTAGTTGCTGTTGTGTGGAGTCTTAATTTGAATGTAATTTATTCATCTGGTTTTTAATTGCTTATAATGCAATACTAGTTGTTCAATCTTCCAGGACGGGATCTACTTGCCATATGAGAATGTTCTCAACTATGAAAGCTTTGCCGTAAGAATCCATGAAGATGAAATTCCAAATTTGATAAACATTCTGCGGGTATTTTCTTACAGTCTTCTGTTTAATTATGGAACTTATGTTGTACTTTCTAGAAATTTATCATTTAAGATCACTGCATCTGACGTATAGTTTGTTTAACTTGTGTAGAGATTTAATGAGACTGAGGTAGAATTCAAATTGGGCAATGTGAGGAAGATCTGGCAGAGATTCTTGTATCGTGATTCTGTTTTGCTTGAAGCCGAGAGGCAAAATGCTACACTTGGACTTGTTGAGGACTGGGCCAGGAAGTTCTCTGAACTAAGTGAAGATGATGTCTTCGCCACACTCGTACAGGTAAAAAATCCAACCCTCTAATAATGAGTACAGGAGTCCCCAAGTTTCAGCAAAGTCCTTTTTCTATCGCATAAACTGAAATATTGAAAAACTTGTATTAACAATTAAGGCTATTTTGTCAGATCCAAACAAATAAATTCCTCCCAGTGTAACAAGTAAATTTATTTAGTTCAAGCTTTTAAACGAGCTGCCTTTCAATAAGATTAATAGACCCTAGTTGGAATTAACCTTATTTGAGGTCGTGGATTGAAATCTGTACACGAAATGCATTGTATCTCTACTTAAATTCCTTTAATCCTAATATAATGGCTCGAAAGACATTTTGCTATATGTATTAGAATTCAGACATTGGAATTTTTATCCCATAATAGCCGACCTGATTTCTGAATATTTGACAAGGTTTTGCACTACAAGTTACATAACGACCCTTGGAGACTAGAGGTTGTCTTTCCCAAAAAGGAGTTTGGTGTACCCGGAGAATGTGCAAGAAGGTAGAAAATAGCTGCAATACAACATAAAACTTGTTTGAGGAGAATGCAACTGCTAGGGGCAGGCGGGTGGGTTCTCAGCAGAAAGTTCAGTGCTGCTGCTCTGTAGCTTGACCGAATGCATCAACGTGAATAAAGCTGCTGCAAAAGGAGCAGCAATTTTGAACAATACATGGATCATCAATCAATAGTTTCTGTAGAAAATAGAGTTTTCTTTTATTGTTTCGCCATTCGTATGCATTAGATGGTAGTTTTCCTGCTGCTATAGAAACAAAATTTTAAAGAATTTATAAACAATAAACAAACAATTCATTGCTTGTTGCTTTCCACAAATTTTACTTATAATACGGTTTTTGTAATTTTTCAAAAACATGTGTGATTATCTTCGCTAATTAACTTAAGGGATGTCTAGGATATAATCTCAATTTTTAGATAGTGTTAAAGAAAATCAAACGATTATGGAGAATGGGTGGTTAACTAGTAAAGAAAAATTTTGGATTTACATGTAAAATTTTATTAAGTTTTTGGTACTAGTCTATTGAGTCCCGCGGCTCACATTTAAAACCCTTCTTTATTGACCTTGAAGGCAATCCAATCCATGCCGGTCCAATTTTTTGCATTCAAACATGATCTAATTGTTAAAATTAAATAAAAATGCATTTTTGCTGTCCAATTCAGTAAGTAATGAATAAATAAAAATAATAAAATTATGAAGGTACAAAAGATGTTTGTCAATCTTTAAATTTGGGCTTAATGATTGTCTATTTTCTGCTCTCTCCTTGAACAGCAAGGCGGTGTTTGATTTTATGCTTTCAAGTTCTTTTCAATTTTGCAAAACATTTAAAACTTGTTTGATTATGATATTTCTGAAAATGTATTTTCGATGATAAGGTTAAACTTATATCATTAAACTCAAAATGCATTTTTGATTTTTGAGTGGAACACCCAAAAACATGGAAAATGAGCATTTAAATAAAAATTCTAAAAACAAAAACTTTAAAAAATTCTAAAATTTTAGAAAAATAAAAAAATATAAATAGTTCAAACTCTTATTGATTATTTTAATAAAAAAAATCTATATTAAAATGAACACGGATAAAAAACTTCATCACCTCATTAATTTTTATTTGTTGCCTACTTAATTTACTATTTATTTTACTCAAAAATTTGTAAAATTCACCATATTACTTGATAATAAATTAAGATAATTTTTTTTTTAATTTTACTGAATGATCAAATTTTCATGGACTAAAATATTATAAAACAATCAGTCAAAATTCCAAACGACGCGTTTTACAGTTTTCTATTTCGAGAATTAAATTTTCAGAATGATAAATAATACGTGTTTTTAGGAATTTTAAAGCATACCCTCAGATAGAAGAATGAAAATAAACTCAAAATTGAAATGCAAATCAAATGGCCCAATGCAACTAGAAAAATAATTACACTAGGATCCTCAGCCTATTAAAAATATAGCAAGTTAGTCAACACATTTCTACGATATTCGAGTCCCCATGCGATGATTTTACCCTTGTTTTTAATTGATTATTCTAAAATTTGTTAAAATTACATGTTTGATTAACAAAAAAGAGACAAATTTTAAAAAATAAATAAAACTTCTTAACCTCCAAAGTCACCCCAATACCTAAGATCCAGGGATATGTTAAAGTTATTAGAACCGATCGATTTTTATTTCATTCTTGATTTTAGTACCTTCGACCAAATACGTTAAACCCTAAAATAAAAAATAAAAAAAATAGTGGTTCATGTAGTGTACCAACTAAAGTTGGTGAATGCGTGTGTTGGTTGTTTAGTCGCTAACAATTTTTTAATAGGTTCGTGATTTGATATAAACAATATATCTTGCAAACCAAACAACAACAAAGCTATTTGGAATATTGAGGAACAACAATTTTTTTATCACAACATGGTCCAATATCATTGCTATTTGCAGTTGGGAGTTGAAAACAAGGTCCTTAATTTAAAATAACTAATATATGTTCCAATTAATTCTATGATTCGATTCCATATATAATATTCTCATTTTAAAAAAGTTTGGTTAAGTTCTTTAAAAATTCAAAATCGAATGACTCAATGCTCACTCCTACCAAACTCCCATAAATTGTCTTTCTAAAAAAGTGAGTTTTTGGTCAAATACAAGGAGTCTATTTGTTTCCGATTAAAATTCAATTAAAATTGAAAATATTGTCGTTATTGGATCCAACTCGTCTAATAAAAGTCAACAATAATGGTTAGTTTTTCAATTTTAATCCGATTTTAATCTTTATCGAACACGCCCAAGGTTAAATTTGTCCTTCGAAAACTTTTGAGTCCCTCAAAACTAAAAAGATTGGGATTGAAGAGATGCCAAAATCATATATTGAGGACTTGATTGTTTGTTTCATTCTCTATAGTTCCGGACACCAAGTGCAATATTTTTCAAAAAAAAAAAATAATAAAGTACAAAAAATAATAATTTTAAAGCAAAGCCAATAAATGAGGGGAAATCTAGTTATCGGTGGAGTGAAGGCGACATCATATGCCTCTTCCTCACCCAACTCTCCCCTCGCGCGTGTGTGTATATATATATATATATGATAAAGAATAAAATGGGCTACGAATATTTGATTGCATTTCAACCTTTCTTGCATCTTACTTCAAAGTTTCTGACTTTTTCAATCCTAAGTTTGTTCTACTTTGAAAACTTTTGCCTCAAATTTGGTTTTTTATGTACCCTTTTCTTTAGTCACAGTTTGATCACATTCACAAGCAAAATAATATCCATTCGAAGTAGAAGTGACATAGAGATTCTTGGGCTACCGAGTATTGCTCTATATAAGGTGCTCTTCACTGTCTTCTTCTCAAATCATTTACTTTTTCTGTTTCTGATAATCTGATTTCAGCTAGAACAAGGTTTAATTTTTAATTTATTAGCTAGAATTTTAGTTTCGTACAGATGGGAATTTATAGATGAAATTAATTGGTTATTGGGTATTTATTAAGAATAGGCAAAATGTGATATTGGCATATGGGGTTTTGTTTTTGAAGGTGGTAATGGGCGGTGGCACTGGGGTGGGGGAGTGGGTGTGTGGAATGGGAATTTATGAGATTCAAATTTATCATCACTTTTGTGCCATTTTTCGTATCGAAATTGATTTTTTTATGTGTATTGTGAAGATCTAGAAATTGATTGATTGATTTATTTATTTATTCTGATAACGTCTCTATATCATATGTTTCACTTAAACAGATTCAATCTTGAATTGGAGGATCATTTGTATCTATGGTGAGTATTTTCTATGTATTTTTCAAAAATTTTTTTAAATCTTTGAAAAATTAAAAAGGATAAAAAAGTTTCGATGAAAATTCATGGACGTAGGATGATCAAAACGGCTGCATTATTCTGTGATCGTATCTTTATGTGGTTGTGTTATGAATAGGGGGAAGCTCCAGTTCTTTTTGAACATCATCTCGATGGGTTTCATTTAAGATCCGAAGGCCGTGAAACAGCAATCGACATTGGTAGCAACAAAACAGTATGATTTTCTAACACATTGAATCCACATTCTGCTAAAATGTGTGAATTTTTTGGTTATGAATTTCCTAATTTGATTCAGTATGTCATTGGAGGGATGGAAAATGAATCAAAATCAACCATTGGAGTTCGGATTTTTGACAAATCTACGGGTGAATGGTGCGAATTTTAGTATATGCTTTAGTTCATGAAATTGTCTTTTGGTTTTAAGGTTAGATAATTTAGGGGCTTGTGACAGAGCTTTTTATAAAAGAAATGTGGTTAAAATTGAAGTTTGACCATTTGAAAAATTTATAAATTTTAGCGAAGTTTTATCAAACAAGCACTTAAAGTTTGACTAAAATTTGCAGGATGATCCCCATCGTTTTGGGAATAAATCCTGGGCCATCGAAGGGACACTCAGCTGTTCTTATAGATGACAATCGAATTTTGGTCGTCAAGGGGGACTCAGCTTCTGATGCTTGCTTTTGGTTTCTTGAGGTTGGTGCTTCTTGGTTTATAAAAGATACAAAAATGACACACTCGATCTTTCACTTTGGTAACTAAAGCACTTGCAATGAAGACGCGAAGTAAAAAAAGTTTGTCATTTTTCCATGTCCAAAACGTGTCGGAAATCGACCAATCATGTTTGTATGTTGCTTTTCTTAGTTTTGTTCAATTTCTTGAGTAGGAACTTTGTTATTTCTTCTTTAGGTGAACACTTTTCTTCTTTAGGTGAACACTGATTTTGTTCGAGAACAGCAAAAGAGATTGGGGACTGAAACGGTTGCTTGGAGTAGAGGAGTTATCGGTGAAACCGAAAAACCGATTGTCATAAGTGGTCCTTCTGGAGTGGGCAAGGGTACTCTAATTTCCAAACTGATGGAAGAATTTCCGTCCATGTTTGGATTTTCAGTGAGCCACACAACCCGTGCTCCAAGAACCAAGGAACAGAATGGGGTTCATTACCATTTCACCGACTGTAGTGTTATGGAGAAAGATATAGAGGATGGAAAGTTCCTTGAATTCGCCTCTGTTCACGGGAATCTCTATGGAACCAGTGTAGAAGCTGTTGAGGTGGTTTCGGATAAAGGAAAGGTATGGCGATACATTATTGTGACATTTTGATCTTACTTTTTAAACGTATTGATGATTATTAATGTCACGTATTGCACTCTACCAAAGATGAACGTTTAATGAGCTCACCATCGTCATATATGGCACTCTACAGTTTACGAATGACATTTTTAGTATGAAGGATTAGACACCAATCGAAAGCATTAAAGAAGGAAAAGGAGTTAAGATCGTTTCTTTTATTGGCACATAAAACTTTTTTATTAACCTAATATTAGATCGTAGTAGACAAAACAATGAAGAGGACTTTAGTTTATTTCACTTTGAGACTATTGAGTACTCTCTATCCACCTTACTAAACGTCCCAATGTTGTTTTGTGCATTTTACAATGATTTTTGTTTTGCGATCTTAAGGATGGTTTGTGTGGTTTCGTATAGAGATGTATCCTTGATATTGATGTTCAAGGGGCAAGGTCTGTTAGGGCTAGTTCTCTTGAAGCCATTTTTATCTTTATCCGTCCTCCTTCATTTGAGGAGCTCGAGAAGCGCCTTCGTGCAAGGTGGGCCACCTTCACTTGGACATTCGTAGTTTCTCTCCTTGCA